ATTGGGGAGGGGTCCCCAAATTAGCCCCTCCCCACAATTTTTGGGGACCCCTCCCCCCATTTTTGCCCCTCCCCTCCAAGCCCCTCCCCCCTTTCCAAGCCCCTCCCCCTCCTCAAAAAATTCCCGAATTTTGCCCCCAAAATTCCCAAATTTTGGCTGAAATTCCCGAATTTTTCCCTTTTGGGGGGCGTGGCCAAAAGGGGGCGTGGCCTTGAGGTGGCCCCTCCCCCAGCGGGGTTTAATTATGATTATGCAAATGAGGATTAATGAGTGAAGGGATGGAGAGGTGGGGGAGGGGCTCAAATGCTTCCCCTCCCCCAGTCTGGCCTTGGTTCTAATAATTATTAATTAATTAATTGTTAATTATCACTTAATTATTAAATAATTAGTACTGTTCATATAATTATTAATAATTGGTAGTTTTAATATAATTCTTAATTGTTTTAGGGGCTAATTGGGGTGTGGTAATTAAAGAAAAAAAATTTAAAATAATTAATAAATAATAAAATTAATTATTATTTGCAATTACCAATTATTTACAATTACCAATTAATTAATTAATAACGGTTAATGACGTATTATTATTTTTAAATGTTTCAGGGGTTAATTAGGTGTTGCTTAATTAAAGTTGCAGAAATTGCAAATGGAGGAAATTTGATTTATTTAAAATTGTTAATTGTTTCCGGGGTTAATTGGGGTGTGGTAATTAAAGGAGAAGAAATTTAAAAATAATTATTAAATAATAAAATTTATTATTATTTAATTACAATTACTAATTAATTACTTAATAATTATTAATGATTTAATATTATTTTTAATTGTTTCAGGGGTTAATTGGGCTGTGGTAATTAAAGGAGAAGAAATAAAAAATAATTAATAAATAATAAAAATAATAATTAATTAATTACAATTATAAATTATTTAATAGTTATTAATGATTTATTATTATTGTTAGTTGTTTCAGGGGTTAATTAGGTGTTGCTTAATTAAAGTGACAAAAATTTGATTTATTTAACACCGATTAATTAATTATTCCCAGGGTTAATTAAACAAGCGCAACGAAAAATCGGGAAAATCCCATTTAATTAATTAATTATTAATTAATGACAGATGCCACCCCCGCTGCTGCCGCCCCTGCTGCTGCTGCTCCTCGCCGGCTCCGCCCGCGGCGCCGTCCACGTCAACCTCACCGAAGGTACCAAATTCCCAAATTTGGGGCCAATCCCAAATTTTTGGGGCCAATCCCAAATTTTTTGATGTCTCCAACCCCATAATTCCATCCTGAAATCCAAATTTTGGGGCCAATCCCCAATTTTTTGGGGCCAATCCCAAATTTTACGGTGTCTCCAATCCCATAATTCCATCCCCGACCCCAAAATTTGGGGCCAATCCCAAAATTTTAGGGCCAATCCCAAATTTTTTGGTGTCTCCAACCCCATAATTCCATCCTGAAATCCAAATTTTGGGGTCAGTCCCAAATTTTTTGGGCCAATCCCAAATTTTTTGGATCAACCCCACCTTTTATGGCGTCTCCAATCCCATAATTCCATCCCCAGTCCCAAATTTTGGAGCCAATCCCAAAATTTTAGGGCCAATCCCAAATTTTTTGGTGTCTCCAATCCCATAATTCCATCCAGAAATCCAAATTTTTGGGGCCAATCCCAAATTTTTGGGGTCAACTCCACCTTTTATGGTGTCTCCAACCCCATAATTCCATCCCCAACCCCAAATTTTGGGACCAATCCCAAAATTTTGGGGCCAATCCCAAGTTTTTGGGGTCAACCCCTCATTTTTGGTGTCTCCAACCCCATAATTCCATCCCCAACCCCAAATTTTGGGACCAATCCTAAATTTTTGGGGGCAACCCCAAATTTTTGGGGTCAACCCCTCATTTTTGGTGTCCCCAACCCCAAATCCCACATTTTTCATCCCCAACCCCACATTTTATGGTGTCTCCAACCCCATAATTCCATCCCCGACCCCACATTTTCATCCCAAACCCAACGTTTTTTGCTGTTCTCAAACCCAACATTTTTTGGGGTCCCCAACCCCAAATCCCACATTTTCATCCCCAATCCCACATTTTTTGGTGTCCTGAACCCCATAATTCCATCCCTGACCCCACATTTTCGTCCCCAACCCCTCATTTTTGTCCCCAAACTCCATTTTTGGTGTCCCCAACCCCAAGATTTTTGGTGTCCCCAACCCCAAATCCCACATTTTTCGTCTCCAACCCCACCTTTTATGGTGTCCCCAACCCCATAATTCCATCCCCAACCCCATATTTTCATCCCAAACCCAACGTTTTTTGCTGTTCTCAAAACCAACATTTTTTGATGTCCCCAACCCCACGTTTTTTGGTGTCCCCAACCCCATAATTCCATCCCCGAGCCCATATTTTCCTCCCAAATCCCACATTTTTTGGTGTTCTCAAAACCAACATTTTTTGGTGTCCCCAACCCAACATTTTTTGGTGTCCCCAATCCCAAATCCCATATTTTTAATCCCAAATCCCACGTTTTTTGGTGTCCCCAACCCCACAATTCCATTCCTGATCCCGTATTTTCATCCCCAACCCCTCATTTTTGTCCCCAAACGCCGTCTTTGGTGTCCCCAGGCTGCCAGATCATCCACCCTCCGCGGGACGGGGGGATCCGGTACCGGGGGCTGACGCCGGACGAGGTTCGGAGCGTCCGGTTCCTGCCCTTCGACTACGAGATCGAGTACGTGTGCCGGCCCGAGCGCGAGATCGTGGGGCCCAAGGTGCGCAAGTGCCAGCGCGACGGCACCTGGACGGCCATGGGCCACCCCAGCCGCTGCCGTGAGTGCCACCCGGATGTCACCTGGGGTCTTTGTCCCCATCCCAGCACTGTCACCATCCCATGAAGTTCTCATTGCATCAACGTCGCCATCCCATGGAAGTCTTCATCCCATCAATGTCCCCATCTTGTCACCATCTCCATCAAGGTCACCGTCCCATCAACATCTTCATCTTGTCACCATCTCCATCAAGGTCACCGTCCCATCACCATCTTCATCTTGTCACCATCTCCATCAATGTCTCCATCCCATCAACATCTCCATCTTGTTCCCATCCCATCAACATCTCCATCTTGTCCCCATCCCATCAACATCTCCATCTTGTCCCCATCCCATCAACGTCTCCATCTTGTCACCATGCCATCATTGTCACCATCCCATCACCATCTCCATCTTGTCTCCATCCCATCAATGTCTCCATCCCATCAAGGTTCTCATCTCCTCAATGTCCCCATCTTGTCACCATGCGATCAACATCTCCATCTTGTCTCCATCCCATCATTGTCACCATCCCCTCAATGTCCCCATCTTGTCAGCATCCCATCATTGTCACCATCCCATCACCATCTCCATCTTGTTTCCATCCCATCAATGTCCCCATCCCATCAACGTCTCAATCCCATCAATGTCCCCATCTTGTCACCATCTCCATCAAGGTCCTCATCTCCTCAATGTCCCCATCTTGTCACCATCTCCATCAAGGTCACCATCCCATCACCATCTCCATCTTGTCTCCATTCCATCACTGTCACCATCCCCTCACTGTCACCATCTTGTCACCGTTCCATCATTGTCACCATCCCCTCACTGTCACCATCTTGTCTCCATCCCATCATTGTCACCATCCCCTCAATGTCCCCATCTTGTCAGCATCCCATCATTGTCACCATCTCATCACCATCTCCATCTTGTCTCCATCCCATCAATGTCTCCATCCCATCAAGGTTCTCATCTCCTCACTGTCACCATCTTGTCACCATCTCCATCAAGGTCACCATCCCATCAACATCTCCATCTTGTCACCATCTTGTCATTCATCATCTTCCCCATCCCGTCACTGTCTCCATCCTCTCAACGTCTCCATGTCATCAACATCTCCATCTTCACTCCATCCCATCATTGTCACCATCCCCTCACTGTCACCATCTTGTCACCATCTCCATCAAGGTCCTCACCTCTTCCATGTCCCCATCCTGTCACCATGCGATCAACATCTCCATCTTGTCTCCATCCCATCATTGTCACCATCCCCTCACTGTCACCATCTTGTCATGATCTTCATCAAGGTCACCGTCCCATCAACATCTCCATCTTGTCTCCATCCCATCATTGTCACCATCCCATCAATGTCGCCATCTTGTCACCATCCCATCATTGTCACCATCCCATCACCATCTCCATCTTGTCTCCATCCCATCAATGTCCCCATCCCATCAAGGTCCTCATCTCCTCAATGTCCCCATCTTGTCACCATCTCCATCAAGGTCACCATCTCATCACCATCTCCATCTTGTCTCCATCCCATCAATGTCCCCATCCCATCAACGTCTCAATCCCATCAATGTCCCCACCTTGTCACCATCCCGTCATTTTCACCATCCCATGAAGTTCTCATCCCATCAACGTCTCCATCCCATGAAAGTCTTCATCCCATCAACGTCTCCATCTTGTCACCATCCCATGAAGGTCTTCACTCCATCAATGTCCCCATCCCATCATCACCCTGAGCTCCACCATCATCATCACCTTGACCACCATCACCTCGACCGTCACCATTGCCTTGGCCATCACCTTGACCGTGACCATGATGACCATCACCTTGACCATGACCACCATGACCATGACCATCACCATGACCATCACCATGACCATGGGCACCATGACCGTCACCATGACCATGACCATGGCCACCATGACCGTGACCACCATGACCATCACCATGGCCACCATGACCATCACCATGACCATTGTGACCGTCACCATCACCATGACCACAACCATCCCTTCACCATCACCATCACCATCACGGCGCCCATCGCTTTGACCATGATGGCCGTGCCTGGAGAACGGCCAGGTGGCCATTTTGGGGTTCACCAATGTCCACATTTTGGGGCCACCACCCAACCTCCATTTTGGATCCACCACCCAACCTCCATTTTGGGTCCAGCAATGTCCATTTTGGGGTTCACCACTGCCCACATTTTGGCCACTTGGTGACCCATTTTGGGTTCACCAATATCCACATTTTGGGACACCACCACATGTAGATTTTGGGGTTCACCAATGTCCACATTTTGGGGCCACCACCCAACCTCCATTTTGGATCCACCACCCAACCTCCATTTTGGGTCCAGCAATGTCCATTTTGGGGTTCACCAATGTCCACATTTTGGGGCCACCACCCAACCTCCATTTTGGATCCACCACCCAACCTCCATTTTGGGTTGGTTTTGGAGTTTTGGGGTTTGGGTATGGGGTTTTTATGGGGTTTTGGGGGATAGGGGGATTGGGATTTGTAGGGTTTGGGTTTTGGGGTTTTGGGTTTGGGGGTTTTAGGGTGTGGAGGATTTGGAGTCAGGGCGATTTGAGGTTTGGAATTGGGAGATTTGGGTCAAGGATTTGGGGTTTTTGGGGTTTCAGGTTTTATTCAGGTTTTTGGGATTTGAGGTTTAGGGGTTTTGGGTTTGGGGGGTTTTTGGGTTTGAAGGATTTGGGAGTTTTGGGATTTTGGGGGTTTTTGGGGTTTTGGGATTTGGGGTTTTGGGGTTTGGGGCTTTGCCCGGCTTCCGCCTGGTGGGCGCCGCGCGCAGCAACTGCACCAAGAGCGGCCGCTGGAGCGACCCCAAGCCCCAGTGCCTGCGTCAGTCCTGGGGGTTTTGTGGGGTTTTTGTGGGGTTTTGGGGTTTTTGTGGGGTTTTGGGGTTTTATGGGGTTTTTGTGGGGTTTTGGGATCTTCTGAGAAGGTTCTTGTGGTGTTCTTGCAGTTGGGATTTGGGGTTTTTGGATCTTCTGAGAAGGTCCTTGTGGTGTTTTTGGAGTTGGGGTTTTGGGGGATTTGGGATTTTGGTGTTTGGGTTTTGGGGTTTTTTTGGGGTTTCTTTTGGGGGTTTTTGTGGGGTTTTTGGATCTTCTGAGAAGGTCCTTGGGGTGTTCCTGGAGTTGGGATTTGGGGTTTTGGAGGATTTGGGGTCTTTATGGGGTTTTGGGGTTTTTTATGGGATTTTTTGCGGGGTTTTGGTGGGGTTTTTGGATCTTCTGAGAAGGTCCTTGTGGTTTTCCTGGAGTTGGGGTTTGGGGTTTTGGGGGATTTGGGGTTTGGGGGTTTTGGTGTTTGGGTTTTGGGGTTTTTGTGGGGTTTTGGGATCTTCTGAGAAGGTTCTTGTGGTGTTCCTGGAGTTGGGATTTGGGGTTTTGGGTTTGGTTCCTGGAGGTTTTTAGAGTTTTTTTGTGGGGGGTTTTGGGGTTGGGGTTTGAGATTTTTTGGGGTTTGGGAGTTTTTGGGGTGTGGGGGATTGGGTTTGGGGTTGTGTTTCTGAGGTTTTTGGGATTTTGGGATCTTCTGAGAAGGTCCTTGGGGTGTTCTTGGAGTTGGGATTTGGGGTTTTGGGATTTGGGGGTTGGGTCTGAGGTTTTTGGGATTTTGGGATCTTCTGAGAAGGTCCTTGGGGTGTTCTTGGAGTTGGGATTTGGGGTTTTGGGATTTGGGGGTTGGGTCTGAGGTTTTTGGGATTTTGGGATCTTCTGAGAAGGTCCTTGGGGTGTTCTTGGAGTTGGGATTTGGGGTTTTGGGATTTGGGGGTTGGGTCTGAGGTTTTTGGGATTTTGGGATCTTCTGAGAAGGTCCTTGGGGTGTTCTTGGAGTTGGGATTTGGGGTTTTGGGTTTGGTTCCTGGAGGTTTTTAGAGTTTTTTTGTGGGGGGTTTTGGGGTTGAGGTTTGAGATTTTTTGGGGTTTGGGAGTTTTTGGGGTGTGGGGGATTGGGTCTGGGGTTGTGTTCCTGGAGAGTTTTTTTGGTTTTTAGGGTTTTAGGGGTTTTTGGGTTTGGAGAATTTTGGATTTGGGCTTTGGGATTGAGGGATTTGGGGTTGGGATTTTTGGGGTTTGGGGGATTTGGGGTTTTTGGGGTCTTTTGGGGATTTGGGGTTTGGGGCGATTTGGCATTTTTGGGGGTTCAGGGCTTTGGGTTTTGGGGGTTTTGGGGCTTTGAGGGGTTTGGGGTCTTTGGGGTCTTCTGGGAAAGTTCTTGGGGTTTTTTTGGGGAGGGGTCTCTGCGTGACTCAGTTTCCCCTGGGGGATTTTTAGGGGGAGATTTTTGGGGTTTTTTTGGGGGGGATTTTTGGGGTTTTTTTGGGTCTCTCTGCGTGACTCAGTTTCCCTTTGAGAGAGGTTCCCTGGGATTTTTGGGGGGATTTTTGGGATTTTTTGGGTGGGGATTTTCTTTGGGGTCTTCTGAGAAGGTCCTTGTGGTGTTCCTGGAGTTGGGGTTTGGGTTCTTGAGGTGTTCCTGGAGTTGGGATTTGGGGTTTTGGGGATTTTGGGGTTTGTGGTTTGGGGTTTTGGGATTTTTGGGGTTTGGGTCTGGGGATTTTAAGGTTTGGAGGATTTGGGGTTTGGGGTTTTTTGGGGGTTTTTGGGGTTTTTGGATCTTCTGAGAAGGTCCTTGTGGTTTTCCTGGAGTTGGGGTTTGGGGTTTTGGGGGATTTGGGGTTTGGGGGTTTTGGTGTTTGGGTTTTGGGGTTTTTGTGGGGTTTTGGGATCTTCTGAGAAGGTTCTTGTGGTGTTCCTGGAGTTGGGATTTGGGGTTTTGGGTTTGGTTCCTGGAGGTTTTTAGAGTTTTTTTGTGGGGGGTTTTGGGGTTGGGGTTTGAGATTTTTTGGGGTTTGGGAGTTTTTGGGGTGTGGGGGATTGGGTTTGGGGTTGTGTTCCTGGAGGTTTTTTTTTTGGTTTTTAGGGTTTTAGGGTTTTTTGGGTTTGGAGAATTTTGGATTTGGGCTTTGGGATTGAAGATTTGGGGTTGGGATTTTTGGGGTTTGGGGGATTTGGGGTTTTTGGGGTCTTTTGGGGATTTGGGG